CAGATGTACGGCCAAAACCCTTTCTTCTCCCACCTAGCTGACATTTTGCTTGCTAAATAGCTAGTAGCAATGCTCTTTGCTCCCTGTGGTTCCAGGAGGCAGGCAGGCACTGATTTTTTCTTTTGTCCTCTCTGCATAGGCAATACTTCAGAGTGCCTTCCCCAACCCCTCCAGGGCCCCACGAGCACTCTTTATCTTGCCATTCAACATACATAAGAGCTCAAAGGGGCTGGTGATTAAGTTCTTCTGTCTCCAAATTGCTAGTGATAGCTTGCCATTTAAACATTGTCTGGCAAGTCTGAAACACTACACCCTAACAATTGTTGACTTTGGTCTCACCTGATATGTTGACTGGAGGCTGCTCTGACAACCCTGGGTTTCTGTCTGGAGGTCAAGGAGGAAGGCGGCTGAAATAAAAAGCCAGGGGAGATATCTCATTCTCAGAGGTTGGCCCTTTAGCACTTCTAATGGGTGGGTCCATTAGTCTAACCTGTCACAGGTGCAGCAGTTGAGTGAAATCCCCTGGCTAGCAAACCAAGCAAAGATATTTAATCCTTCTAAGAGCAGCAGCCAGCTACACCACCTACCTGCACCTCCCATTGCACAGAGGAAGTATGACTGGAGAGTGTAGACAAGGACAGGGCTAGTGGATAAAAACAAAAATCCATATGAAACCAAGCTTCAGTAACACCCAAAACTGCAGCAGGGTTACGTGTTGCTATTGCAATTCTCCTTGCCCTTAGAGCTCAGAGAGAAAAAACCTTCTTAAATTCTACAACAAAAAGGAGCCCTTCCAGCCACTGAAACATTTTTAAGTTTTCCTCTGAAAGAAGTGGGGAACACAGCCCTGCCTTTGCTCCCTACAATTTAAAGCACATTGAGAGACTACCATGATGCCCAGGCATTACATCTCATTCCTCCCAAGCACAGTGTCTGCCTCACCACTATAATGAGTGAAGAGCCACTAAAGAAAAGCACAAAATAAGATGCCTAACTTATACACCCAACCAGAACTAATTTAACCTATTAAGAGGAAACCATTTGCATTTTAATAGTTTTGGAAAGGGATATCAAGGAGTTAGAAATCAGTACAACTTACCTTCATAACAGACCACTTGACAGAAGCAACCCCTCATCTGTGAGATATTACTTGGTAAGGCAGCTGTGCCAACAGATTTTGCTAAAGGAATCAGGCCTCGTAAATCTTATATTTCTCAAAAAAAAAAAAAAAAAAATAAACAGGACTGCAGGTATCAGATATAATCTAACTGACCATGTACTTGGGTGTCAGTGAAGCTTTGGACAGAATTTTCTATAGAAGGTCTTAAGCAAATTAAGCTCTTGGGGAGTACGGATTTTTCTCACAGAAAAGCAACTGGCTGAGGACACAGGATATTAAAGGCATAAATTCCTATGTTTTCGAAACAGGAGGAAGGCAACAGTGGAATGCCATTAATTTCTGCTTGTACTGGACTATTCAATGCATTTGTAAGTGGTCTAAAAAGTGGTGCTTACACTTACTGTAACTTGTGCTGGGCAACCAGCACCTTTTTGGCTGGCTTTGAAGGACTACAGCTGGACTACAAGAGAGCAGAAGAAACTCAATGCTCACAAAGCAAGGCATACAGGGAGGGGGAAGAGACAACTGTAAACAATGTCGTGCTCCAAGTCTGACTTAAAAATTCAAGTGTCTGCGGATAATGCTCTGCAAGTCATTGCTCAATACTTGAGAACAGTCCACAAGGAAGTAGCTTTTTTAAAAAAATCCCTTAAACTAAGAAGCAGAAAAGATTTACTGCTGTACAAATGCACTTTGAACATCACATGTAGTTCTGGTCACCTTTACTGTGGCAGAGAAGGGAGGTGATGCCAATAAGATGAAACAACTTCTGGGAAGCACAACTGTATCCTTAAATAGACTGTGCCACCCCATCAACCCTTTGGCCAAGATTACAATCTGTGCTTTGAAAACAATTTTGAGAAAGCACTGCTAAGATTCACTTGCTGCCTGGTGTAACACCATTACCTTAGTACCAAGACTAGAAGGACAAACCGGAGAAGACAAGAGTGAGAGAATGTGCTACTCAATGAGTTTTCAATAACAGAAACAGCACAGTAGCAGCTGTGAAAAGCCACTGTAGTCCATTTTAAATCATTTTGAAACAAGCCTGAAGCACTCAGAATATCTACATTTTGGCTAAAGCTCTTAGAGAGCTCCAGCCTTTGGGAAGCAGGTGCATTCTTGCAAATACCAGTTAGGAACAAAGTTTCATAGTCAGTCTAGATCCTACATGAAGGTATTTTTCAACACAAGCATCCTGTGTTCCAGGCAGCAGGCAAGGCTGCTGGTTCCCATCAGGGACCTGACACAGTACAAAAGTCCTGTTGCTTATTAGTCAAGGGCTCATAAGGAAAGCATGGAGGAGCGCCGGCTGCCAAACGCAATCCAGACTTACAAATCTACCAAGCAGCAGGTGATGCTTCCTCCTCTGGTCACTTGACAGGATCTATAATCTCCAGTTGTGGCTGTTTTCAACTTGAAATGCCACCACTCGCAGGAGAGTTTGACAGTCTTGGAGAAGGTGGTACGAGAGGGCTGGGTTCTGGTTCCAAACGGTGTCACTAACTCACCCCCATCTGACAACACACCAGACAGCAAAAGCAGCAGGTCCCAGCCAGAGGTTTGCAGCCAACTCCACCATGGGAGAACCTCAGTTACCACTTCTCCAGCTCCAGTCAAGCCTGTGCCACCACATCTTCAGGTTGCACACCTGGCATCCAAACATTTGCCAGCAAACATTTCCTGAAGTCAGTAGGGGATATTTGTAGAGTGAACTGAAACCAGTATTTCGGCAAGCAACTCCTTCCACTTTTAAATTTCCTCTTTCACTTCTGCGACAACCCCCCTGCAGACTTAAGCATCCTGCCAACAGAGAGAGCCTCTGTCAGGGGAACCGTTCCTCTCCACCATCAGGTTTAAGGCAGCCCCCCGAAGCACTGCTACCACCATCACTCCAAGCCGCACATGCCAGCGGGGCAGACCCCCGCTTTTTTCATAGAAGTAGCCACAGTCCTTCAAATGCCCTGAGCAGAGATGGGAAAAGCCTATTTAAGCAAGGAGGGAAACAACCGTGTGCTCTTTCAGGCCAGCAGCAAAACTAAACTCAGCTGGAGTTACCCACCACTGCTTCTAAGCTCTACAGAATAATAATTTCCTTACAAGAAGTTAAAAGAATTCAGCTCCTTCTCTCTAAATATTAAACATGAGCACATGTTTAACTTCAGTTGATACCCCAATGGCTATAGAAAAAGCAGTTCTCATCAGCAGGTAAGACAACATGAATTTACAATTCCATTACCAACATGCGTAATGTGATTATTTCTATGTATCTAATTCTGCACATACTAGTAACTAATAGATCTTCAGAAGCAAATTCAGTCACAACTTGTTATTTCAAGCTCTGTGTGAGGAGTTCTGAAGTGGACTCCCAGACATGCCCAGTTCTAGAGGTGACTTCCACCACCAGGTCAGGTTGGAGCGAGCACACTGCCCGATATCTGCACCGCAGCCAAGCCCTACATACCAGTCACCCTGCTTCGCGTTAGACAGAACCCAGGAGACAACACGCTTGGGATGTAAATCTTGCACACATCCTCCTTGTGCACAGACAGAGGTTTTTTGAACCACGAACCAATGCTTATCACTCATGAGTTAACGCAACCACTACAAAAACCACAATGATCCTTCCTCCACTTGAGCCTGAAAGCAGTGAGAAGGACCAAGCCAAGCAGAAAACAATCACATGCTCCTTATAGGATTCCAGCAGCAAAAGAGCTGGTAGTTTCGGCTACTGAGAGGTGATATTTGAGGAAGTCTGTCTTCATTTGCACTACCTAAAGGCAGACCACATAGCTGAGAAGCAAAACAAAAGGATTTCTTTTTAATTTTTGCCCTGCAGTAAACAGGGATGGGGGAAGAAGAGGATGAGAAGGTTTATGGGAAGTCATGGAGACTTGCGGTCTGCTGTCCAAAATTAAGTACTTTTGCTTTTAAACTAACTTATGATAATTCACGGAAGTAAAAAAATCAGGCAAGTCTTGCTTGTCTAGGGCCAAAGTTCAGCAAAACCATGCAGATTTACCTCTCCCCCTTTAATTTCACAACCTCAGGCTCAGACTAGAAGAGGTAGCAGCAGACCCTCTCTAGACAGATGAGTGGTGGCAGGGGAAGCCAAGAGTCTCTGGCATCATGCAAGCTCAGCACCAAACCCCTTTGTGCTGTTACATTTTGAGATTCTCCCCACAACGGACAACCTTTAAAATTACAGGTAAAGAAGAAGGGAAGGGGAAGGGAGAGTCTCTGCTTGTACCACAAACCCCTAGGAATTGCTCTGCGCTGTCACCCCGCGCATGCCCATCACACTCACGACACCTCCCTCGTGGCACAGCCAGCTCTTCCCTACAGCAGCTATTTCAGAAAAACTCCAGAAAGGACTATCCAGAAGCCCCAAAAGCAAAGCACTGGGAGAGGATATGCTACATTTAATAGCAAAGTAATGACACAGATGGCTAAGAGAGCAGTTTTCCCCTCTGACAGGTTACTGGAGGCACACAGCCTGAGATCAGGCAGCTCGGTTGCTGGAGACAGACAAGCAGTGCCTCCCGACCACCATAAAGTCACTCACATGCCTCTTGCAATTGCCATTTATTTTAAGGAGATTTTCTACTCTGCACAGAACACATGCCTCCCACCAGCCTCTGTTACAAAGCAATGATGGGAGCCAAATCTGGAACGTGAGCAAGCCTTCAGCTGTTCTGCAGAAGTCTATTCAGGGATGCAATGCAGTGCAGAATGCTGCAAACTATTCACACCGGTGCTGTGAAACGCTAGACTCCCACCCTCGGCAGAGGCCAGTGGGACCCATACAGAAAATATTAATATGAAATCCTACCAAAAGCCATTATGAAAAACAGAAAGCAGAGTGATGCACAGGTATTACCTCCCATCTCCCTGTCGAGTGGCGGGTCATCGTCTGCCATGGAGAAGTCCAGAGATGCTCCTGCTATTTCCAGCATATCTTCATCACTAGTGCTACTCTGGAAACTCCCCCGTCGATAGCCTTTCTGATCCATGGCCAGAGCTTCCAAACCTGGGAGCAAAGGGAAAATTTTTAGAGCACAAGCATGAAGACTCATTTTCTAAGCCAACTGGACTGATGCCCACTTGACACTTTGTCCTGAAGACAAGGAGTCTGCACTGGTCTTCCCAGGTGAAGGAGAAATGCAGCGATACCACCTGAAATTTGGGCTAGAACAAGCAACTGCTCAGGACAAAACTGGATGTTTACAAGCAAAGCTCTTGCACTAGACTTCATGTTGCCCCATGCCAGAAACAAACATCAAGTCCCAGTACGGCATCTGAACTCAACTGGAAAGACATACAAACACAGCAGCACTAGGCTGCCCAGGTTCTTAAAAGACGACAAGTTTAGAAAACTTTGCACGGCCAAGCCAAGCCCCACAGAGGAAAATCCTTCCATAATAAGGGATCCTACACACATATCCTCTACTCCCCAGTCCACTGCCTGCTGGAAAAGGGCTCAAACTGGACTTTGAATAACGAGCTGCCAGCCATGAGACAGGCTTAATCAAGGCAATGAGACCGACAAACTGCAAGCAACCACCCCAAAAACTAGAAACAGCCCCCATCTCACCTGCCCATAGCTCAGGTGCACTGTCCCGTGTCATCTACTGCCATGGCTTGCACTCGGGTGATCCGACTACGATCTCAAACACAAGAGCAGCCCGAATGCCTCAGATAATGTTTTTCTCTATAGAAAACCAATTATATTTCTAAGTTCTTGGTCTAAAAAGCCTCTCAAGGTATTTCCTTTTTCTCCTTTATATTTCCCACAAAGACTGTGAATCAATTTCTATCTGCTGGTCACTACCAGACAGAGCAATTAGAAATCCACTCTAGCAGCAGGTAAAAAATTACTCAGGTCAACACCATGTTGGACAAGGCAAGTGACATCTGCTGATGTATTTTCTAAATAATGTCCGCATGTGCTCTCAACAGGTTTGCAATGACTTTTTTTTTCTGTTTTTGACCATTTCACCTCCCACAGTGTCCTTGTATTTACTGCCAGAGCATTGTGCAAAGCCCATCAGGGAGGAAGGATCCTCGCAGCAGAAATGTGGCTGTGATGCTCTCCAGATGTTCCAAGCTCACCTACCTGTCCTTCTCTGAGATGTAGGCAAACTATCAAAACAACCCATATGAACAATGATTCTTAACCACCCACACATGAAGCTGCAAAATGCAATGTGGAAGTGTGCTATTAAACTTCATAAATAATTTTAATTAAGTATCCTTGACCTCCTACCGGACCTGGTCATCTCAAGGAGCTGGTCATGCCAGACCATGACACAAGACCTGTTGTCTCTCCTGCTCTTCTCTAAGACGGCAGACAAACTATGAAAGCACAAGCTCTGAAAACATAATAATAAACTAAGCTGAAAAAAAAATATAAAAATAATCAGGTCTCAGCCTCAAAAATAGCTCTTGCAACCTGAAAGTGGGAACCTTCATCTCAATGAGATGATAGCCTGTGTTCGCTTTTCTCTTGCAAACATACATATTTTTCAAGAGAATTATAGAGGAACCAAATATGCAGCTCAGCCTTATTTCAGGAAAGGAGAAAGCCAGCCAGCATTTGCAAGCAGTATGAATTACACACTCTGCAGAAAGCACTTCCTATTAAAAAAAAAAAAGCCACCACACCACACAAAAAAAGTCTTGGCATTGTACGAAGTGACGCACTGGGCTCTTTGCTGAGCCTTGCTCTGTGGAACACAATGTTACTTAACATTTAAGCCCTGTTTACTCATTAAACTGGTGCAGAATACACCAGTGAAGAGAGTGCTGAGCTCTGGCTGAGGGCAACTGGGTGTTCGGGAAGGCACGTGAGCTGCTGCACGCTGCTCTGCCAGCAGCAACGCTTTTAGCACACTCTGAAAGCACAGAGATGGTGCGGGCTGCAGTCTTCCATCAGCACACACAGAGAACCAAAGGCAGGAGAAACTGAGGAATTCAAAGTCATTATTTGCCAGCTAGCAATAAAAATAATTTAATTTCATTAAAGCGCTGCAGTGCACCTCCGGTGAGCTGCTTCCAGGGAGCACAGCGGATGCCAGCTCTCAGCCTAGGAGGCAGGAATGGCACGTCTCACCCCAGCAAAGAACTAAAGAAACTCTGTGCTTGGGTGTTGCAGGGCTTGTCTGCAGCATAACGCAGTTTTATAGGTATTTTCCAATAAGACTCTGTGTGTGTGTGTATATATATGTGGGAGGGGACGTTTAAAATATGTCTGTATTCACATATTTGCTTTGCACAAAAAGCATAAATTTGTAGCCCTACCAGAGGCTGAGTCCCTCAGCTGACAGAAGGCATGGCGTTGCCAGCACAGGCAGACAGAAGTCCCTGTTTGAAAATTAGAGCAATGTCACCTCCTGCTCCCCGCAATCCATCCCCAAGTTTGCTCTCATTTACAGCTTAAAAAACCAAAACCAAGCCAATGAGCATACCACCTTCCAGTCACAGCAGAGCCCAGGCAACACCCAGCATGCATGCAGCACAAAAAGGACACAGAAAATGATAATTCAGTGATGGCTTCTCTCCCAAGTCCTGAAGCAGTCCCTGGAGATACAGGCTTACGTCACTTTTTCTTACAAGAACACTCCCTCGACGGGCAAGCAATGCATTTCCAGGCAAACCATGTGCCCCAAAAAAAAGAAAAAAACCCAAACAAAACCAGACTGTTCTCATGCTTATCTATGTAGTTAATTTACTGCAATACTTCATCGGGCTACGGCTCCTTCTTTCCCACCAGGCCACGGGCACACTCCGGGACACCCCCCCAGCAGCCGTACGTACCCAAGGGCTCCTGGTGCACCCAACGCTCGCGCGAGCGAGAAGCCATCCTCCTCCAGCTGCTCCCATTCACCTCCTCTGCCTTTTTAGACCATCCTGGCTTTACCCATCAGAGTCAAGCAAAGGGAAGCAACGAAGCCAAACCCGACGGGGTCGGCCCCCCGACGCCTGGAAGTGACTCAGATGACAGCACTCGCCACCAGGAAGCCAGAGCAACCCCGCTGCCGTCCTGCGGAGCCAACCCAGCCCCAGCTTCAGCCCTCGCGGTGCTTTCCGATTGACGCTGCGCGTTGCAGGCTCTTCTTCCCATTTCGGACTTCGACATCGCCAGCACACCCAGCGATCTGCTCCCCCAGCACCCGTCCCAGCGCCGCATTCCAATCTGCAGCCAGAGGAGCGGGACTGGTGAGCCACAGCACCGGTGAGCTCCAGCACCGCCACCACCACCACCACCACCAGTACCACCACGCTTGCCTCCACCGGCCAGCGACGTGGGGGCTCGGAGCAGCCCTTCCAGCACGCGGGTTCAATGCTTTCCAAGTCGGAGGGTAAAAGTTCCCGCAGCATTTTTCCGCCGTCCCCATCGTCGGATGGAAGGCTCGGCTCCGGCTCCACCAGCACCACAAAGACATCGCACCAGGAGAATACAACTCAAAAAGGAGCAGGGAGTAATCCTGACCGGCCGCCTTCATCAGTCATTGCTGCTGCGGGGGAAGGAGCGAGCTTACCACCTAGCGGCTATTTCATGTGAAAAACCAAAGCCCAGATCACAAGACTGCTTTTTTTTCAGAGATCAGCAAATCTAAGCCGAGCTTTGATAGTTCGGGGCAGTTCCTCCTCCCCATCCCCACAGGGGCAGGCACATCCCTTCCCACAATTACCAGATTCAAAGGTACACAAATAAGAAAAAAAGAAATTGAATAAGCCAATTATAACTGAAAAAAAAACAGAAGAAAGGAGAGAAAAATATATCATTTAGCCGTTATGTCAATACTCCTGGTACCTGGCTGGGAGCCAGCAGAGCAAGGCTTTCCTGCAACATTATCACTCCAGAGACTCACATTGTCATTAACAAAAAAAAAACCATTTCTCTTCCAGAGCAGAGGAGGTTACTCCACGAGAAAGAAACTTCAGTCTGCTTGTAAACTAAGTGAGCTGGTTTGGATTTCACTGTATTCCAGCCCACGAAACGTGTAACCCTGCCAGGTCCAGGCTTGATGTGCAGACTTCAAATGAATTGCAAGAGGGCTGGGTACCTATCTTAAAACAAAACAAAAAAACCCCACAAAACAAAAAACACCAAACCACCCCCCAAAAAACCCCAACTGTAATTTCTTCTTTAACTGCTAAAAATCAAACCACCACGCACACAAAGTTGGAGGCAGCAATCTCAGAAGAGCTCCACATCTGCTTCTTGCACTTTCTTCAGCTACAGTGCCTACAAAAAGACAACGCCAGGCAGCAATTGCAGGCAAAGGCAGGGTACAACAGAGATGACTGTAAACACCTGCTTTATAAAAGAGACGATGCTATTTTTCCAAGTCATTCCTCCCTCCAATTCCCTGTGCTGTCTGAAGTGACTACAACCAGTCTCCCCTTCTGTACAGATGAAACTACAACGGGTGAGCTGATAACTGAGAGGATTTTTTACATCACCTTTAAGTCCCCTTCAGGTGCAGTACGTGACACACAAATATCTTCAGAGAAAAATTAAATGTTCTCGAACACATTGCTATTAGCAATGTCTTGGTTTCACAAACTGCACATAATCATTTAACAGAAGGGTTTAGTGGCTCAGTTAAGATCATCAACATGCCTTTTCCCATTGCATTTTAAGTGCATGGTCATAAAAGCATTTATTTACCTACATTCACTTCTTGCTGTCCACCTGCCTGTTCCTCCTCCAAAGAGCAGACAACCGTTTCATCCTCGAGCATCAGTCCGCTTCTCCCATTCCCCTCCTCTCCCCGTAGGAGATGACAGCTCCTTTCCTGGGATGGCCAAGGAGGCGGTCCGGGGCTGCCCCACTCCAGCACTAGCACAGGAGCAGGGAACTGGAGAAGTTGTCCCTCTCGGGCTGGAGCAGGGACATGGAGCCCTGCCGGCCCCAGGACAAGGCTGACCCGGCCGGTGGGAGTCTGCCGCTCCA